TTGTAGATAGCAAATTTCAATGGAATCTCAACTACGTGGCATCAGCCTATAACTTAAGTGGAGAACCCACAATCGAAAGGACATCAACTGGAATGTAGTCAAAGTCGGGTTCAAACGGGCATTGAAGATACCAAGAACAAGCAGAGGGGCAAGACATGAAGATTCACTATTAGAGATTGTTTAACACATACAATTACAATATTTTGATTTGTTGACGTGAAGGTAAAATGTAATTTATACTTGATGCCATAATGGGAAAGCTTAAAAGAGTCCGCACTCGCATAGAATTATGATGATAACCTACAAGGAAAAAATCAGATACAAGTCCTTTCCACAAGGGCACTACATCGGTGACATGGCAGGGTTCGAACCCGGGACCTCCTGGTTCTTTGCCGAACACCCTTTTACTTCAATTTATGAGCTAAATTCAAACTTGTTTATAGTCTCCACTCATTGACAAGGGACATGAAGAAAATAGACACAGGACGCAGGTGGCACTACTGAAAGCCTTTCGTTTGGAAAAATAACCTAGAGACCAGGTGGTAGACACAAGTACAGTATAGTCAAACAACTGTGTGTCTTTCATTCTCTATTATACCCGCTGAATACACTAATGCAACTCTTTCATATTGTCTATCTACAAAGGGAAGTTCATGTCCTACTGTTTTCTATTGCCTTACATTGAAAACGAACAATAGCAACGTTGTTTACACGATGTATGAATTGAGGTCTGTGGAAACTCAACTAAAGCAACTCTTTCATATTGTCTATCTACAAATTAAGGTTCATTTCCTACAGTTTCCTATTCCCTTACATTGGAAACGAACAATAGCAACGTTGTTTACACGATATATGAATGGAAGTCTATGACAATTCAACTAATGCAACTCTTTTATATTGTTTATCTACAAATTAAGGATCATTTCCTATTGCCTTATTGGAAATGAACAATAGCGACGTTGTTTACATGAAATATGAATGGTTGTCTACGAAAATTCAACTAATACAAACCTTTCATATTGTCTATCTACAAAGTAAGATTCATTTCCTACTGTCTCCTATTGCCTTACAATGCAAACGAACAATTGCAACGTTGTTTATAAGATGTATGAATGGAGGTCTATGAAAACTCAATTTCAAAAAGTTGTACACAAGACAGTTTCTCAAAACCACCAACCGGAAGCGGAGGTCAAAGGCTTATGCGATTGGCTCAGAGGCATATCATTTTCTTTTGAACCTGAAGCCACATAAACAGGTGGACTATCCAGTTCTGAGTGACACAATATCTGCCGCTTTGTCAAAATTCAAACACGTGCAAAAAACACAATAGTCTCTTGTCCTCTGGCTAATCGCGTAGAAAAGATCTTTTGTAATGTGGCAGGAAGGCGCAGTTCCGCTACATCAAAAAAGTGTGTGCCTCAAGTTTGAAACTTGACAGGAAGCAAGTATTAACAACTTCTGAGGCAGCTGGTCTCAGAAAATTATATTTCTACAAATGAGCCCGCACAGGACAAGCTACAAGCACTTAATTATGACTTCCGTTTCGACAAGCTGGATAGAGATCAGAGAGTGGATCATTAGACTAAGAGTCCCCTATATAACTAAAAGATCATTTTTCAACAGCTTAAGGTTTCTACTCTCTTGTAGACAGGATAAGACAGGAAGAAGATAGATGTATGGGTTGTTCTAAAGGTCTTTTTGGCCGTTGTTCTGTCGGTTGAAAATGTAAACATTGCAGAGACTCACTCATCAATTTTACCCTGGGTTTCATCGGTCAATGTCAACGTCAAGCCAGCTGCGCTACGATTTGATTTACTGCATTAGCAGGTGCTGTCCAACTCGCTACTTTACTATAGCCTCTAGCAGACTTCAGGAGGCGGCTGGTCGTATGAAATTCAGTCTGTTATCTGCAAAAAAGACGGAACCTTTGAAATAAGGCATATATATATATATATTAGCCTCTACCAGGCTTCGGGAGGCGGCTGGGAAGAGTAGAAATCGGTCAAAATAGAGAGATAAAACATGACATGGGAGTTGGTCCGCTAGAGAGCACAGTAGTTTGCCGCACCCTGGCATGTTATCTCTCTATTTAGTCGATTTCTACTCTTTCCAGTCGCCCCCCGAAGCCTGGTAGAGGCTAAGCAAATGCACCTCTCGCAAATGGTACCAAGTGGTACCAATGTCTTCACTTCAGGGTGTTTAGGTTCACACACATTCAACTAGCCATCTACAAGTATTATTCCTATCTAGGCAGCATACTGTGTAGGGGCTAACTTTACTATGCAAGCAACAGCCTTGTGTAACGCAGCTTAAATCTCACGGTCAACATCAAAGTAGACTTTACTTCTACTATTACTGCATGAATCAACGAGCTGTAATTGGCTGGTCTTTTCTGTAGTTCTAATGCCAATTTCCGATGACGCAAAATAAGATTACCGCAGGCTACATATCATTCTAGAGTGCAGTGCAAGCAAAGTTGGAGTCACGCAAAGTTCTAGGTCAGGAAAACGTCGCATAAGATTCAATCTGTAAAAAGACGGAAGCTTTGAAATGAGGCATATGCATGCCTCTAAGGTGTTCTGTACAGTGTCTTAAAAATGCTAGCCTCTACCAGGCTTTGGGAGGCGGCTGGCAAGAGTAGAAATTGGTCAAATAGAAAGATAACATGCCAGGGGAGTTGATCCGTTAGAGAGTACAATTTGTCGCAAAATGTACCCTCTCTGGCCGGCCAACTCCCCTGGTATACTATTCCCGTTACTTTGGCCAATTTCTACTATTTTTCCAGCCATTTGCCGTGCCTTGTACAGGTTATGAAATGTCACAAGTGACACGGTTTGCAAAAGGGAAATATAGTTGACTTGGGGAGGGGGGGTAACAACTTCTATACGCGCATTTACAACAGACTCTAACCGTTAAGGCTATCTTTCTCTATAGCTGCTTGTGCAAGGTAAGGTGACACATTTCCGCGGTCAAAAGGTCTCAAGCAAAACAAAAGAAGCTAATATTACGTGTGATACAAAATGCACACGACGGAACACACGTACACTCGTGGAACACACCAGCTTCTGTATCTGTATAGCAGGTATAACCACCCTTCGGCGTAACACACCAGCTTCTGTATCTGTATAGCAGGTATAACGGCCCTTCGGCGTAACACACCAGCTTCTGTATCTGTATAGCCGGTATATCTGTATCTGTATCTGTATAGCCGGTATAACCGCCTTTCGGCGTAACACACCAGCTTCGCAGGCACGCGGCGCGGCGGCAGCTGGCTACATTACACCGAACGACTTGTTACACCTAACCCTTAAACATCTAACTCTTAACATTGTTTAAAGCTA